TGTGTGTGTGTGTGTGTGTGTGTGTGTGTGTGTGTGTGTGTGTGTGTAAGAATCCCCAGGACTTGGCATCTGACTAGATAGGGGCTGGTGAGGGAGAGGGAAGAAGTGACTGGTTTGTGGGCTGCACACCTGGAAGACAGGAAAGACAATAAACAGTGCCTTCACTTTGGCAGAAATGAGGAAGTTGCAGTAGAAGAAGGCGTGGGTTCAGGGGAAAACATAATGATAATAATGAGAAGGAAGACCCTGCTCCCCTCTTCCCCACTGAGTACCTAGGTGCCCTTCAACAAGTCCTTAAGGGGCAGCTAGGTGGCGCAGTGGATAGAGCACTAGCCCCAAAGTCAGGAGGATCTGAGTTCAAATCTTACCTCAGACACATGATAGTCACTAGCTATGTGACCCTGGGCAAGCCACTTAACCCCATCGCCTCACAAAAACAAGTCTCTTAAGCACTGGAGGCCTGCTTATCCTCATCTGTAAAACAGGGGAGTTGGCCTAATAATGACCCTCCATCCAGTCCTGGTGATCTATTCTACTGCTCATGTCTGCCTCTCTCTCTTTGTGTATCTGCGAATGAGCCTTATTTAGGGGCCAATTTTTAGGCCCCTGCTCCCTCAGATAAAAGGACTTCTGCAGGGAGGGGAAAGCTTGACATCTGCTTAAACATGAATCTATTCTTTTGTTATGGTAACTTTTCTTGGTCCTGTGATTTTGATGACAACCAGAGATGTGAGTGTTGAGCTACCAGTGAGCCCTTGTCCCACCCATTTTCTCCATCTATTTCTGTGTGCTTTGAAGTTAATGTTGAATTTCCAATCTTAAAATCATTCCCATGGCAACAAGCTGTGAGAAGATAAACAAACATGGGGTTAAGACTTCACTGCAGGAATCAAGCAGATGGAAAAACTAGGCTGTGAAGGAGAAAAACCTTTATTTAAACATAAATATCTTCAATAAGAGAAAAGAGAAAATGAGAAACAACTACTGAAAACAACTTAAAGGGGAAAAAAGTTATTTATGTACTTCCACCTGTCTGCCTTCCCTCCCCTTTACTTCCTCAGTTTGCCTTATATTAAAACACTTTATTATTATTACCACAACTACTAATAGCCACTTCTAGGTTTGCAAAACACTTTACAAATTGTATCTCATTTGGTCTACAGAACAACCCCCTTAGGTAGGTGTTATCATCCCCATTTTACAGAAGAGGAAGCCGAGGTTGAGATTCAGAGACTAGCCGCAGCTAATAAGTGTCTGAAGCAGGATTTCACCTCAGTTCTTCCTGACTCCTCCAAGTCCATTACAGTAGCCGCTACATGCGCAAGCCACCTCAGAGAAGTTATATGCAGAGTTTTCCCCAAGGACCAACACTTAATAAGCAATAATAAAAGTGAAAATATGGCAGTTACTGAGATGAACCCCAATATGAACCCTGCACAGGAGGGCCTCCTTCACATCCCCTATACATGGTGAGTGAATGGGATGGTCCCCTGTAACTCTTCTCCCCAACTGCTATAGCACCAGAAGGGTTAAGTAAGGGGAAAACACAAGCCGGCATCCTCTCGAGAACTTCCGCGCTCCTCCCACCTCTGCAAGAACACCTTATAAAGCTTTTCTGGATCCCTGTTTATCTGGAGTAGGGGAAGCTGTGAAAGTGACTGTGGCTCTGCATGGACCTGACCTGAGGCTATCCTGTCACCTGTCCCTCAGTGGAACAAAGGTGGGGGAGGGAAGGATCCAACTGAGGGAGACCCCGCTGCTAAGCCCTATAGTGTGGTTTCTTCATCCACACGCATCAGCACCAGGTCTATTGCCAGGGTGATGCCGGTGCAAACAAAGCAGCAAAGAAAGCCAGCCCCTTTATTTCCATTCACTTCCAAACACTAGAAGAAAAGCCAGCATTCGCCAGATGGAATAGAGACAAAGCCTCCAAGAAAACACATTCATTTTCAAGCTTTAAAAAAAAAATCAGAGATTAAAGAATTCTTTATCAGATTTACAGAGGCTGACCAGGGTGCCTAGCATTGAATTCTCTCACCACTAATGGATCCAGTCTGTACCAGGCAACCTCATCCATTTATCTCCTGTTGTAGAACTTGTGCCTGGTTGGTTCAGGTATGTATAGTGTGCCATCAGAGTTGTAACGAGGGCAAAATGAGCAGAGCTTGGGACCCGAGTACTGAAATGTAGCGGGCATCGATAGCCCTTCCCCATCAGCCCTGCCCCATGCCCCCACCTAGTCCCCAGGGTTTAGCAGCAGCAGCCTCAGGGGGATCTGGGTTCTCAATGCCTAGAACCCAACTTTGCAGGATCTGTGTCTCCCTCTAACTGTGAGGTACCACAGGATCTCTCCTCTTTGAATTCATCTTTAAAAACTGATTTGCAGACACAGTTTTTGCTGCTTACCCGGAATGATTTTTTAAGTTTGCCCCAGTTGTCAAAGTTGCTGGTTATGGCTTTGGATATCCGGTCTACTCAACTAAAGTGTAAGCTTCTGAAGGTCAGAAACAGGGTTCCTTATTTCTTTTGTATCCATGCAGAGAAGCAGATGAGACTGAAAGTTAATGCTGCCTGATCTCATAGCAAATTGCCCATGCTCCATGAAAAATTTTGGACATTTCATAACTATCAAAACTGCAATGAGAACTAGGGCAAATTTTTTAAGTCTGAAATAAAGATGAGTTTAGCAGACAGCTTCATCGAAAGCATTATTAAATTGAAAGGTAGGAGGAAGAGAATACCTCCAAGGAAAAATATATAATTTAAAATGTACCCAGAAAATGTTTTTTTCCTTCTCCTAGTTTCACAGGTATTAGGGTTTCATCATAAAGAGAATCAAGAAGGACAGATCCAAATTCAACAGAGGGAGATATATGGATAAGTATCCTGCATCCTACAGCATTTGCTGTAAATGATTTGGACAATAATTATGTGCTAGCCATTGGTGGTGCTTCCCATTATGACTGTTTTTTTCCCCCTTTATAAAAGTACAATGGTATAAGAACACTAACTATAGCTTTCTCCTTCATGCCCGAGATGAGTTTGTGTTTTCCAAAGCTTCTCATGAATTTTCAGGTGCTAAATATGGCACAAGAGGCAACTTTTATATTGTTTTTTAAAAAAAACCCCAAACCCTGAAGCATCTGTTACTAGTATGGACTGGGCTCAGGGAAAGAGAAAAAAAGCATCCTAAGGTTAAACTGTATTCTTTCCATATCAATAAGCCACTCTTGACTGATGACCAAGATCTGGACCCAGAGGACCTCTGGGACTATCTGAATGAAGCTTTGACTGTTGCCATGTGCAAGGAGATAGTGAAAGCAACTCCGCACAGAGGGTCGTTCCAAATTAGAGTCTAATGATCTTGAGAAAATCACAGTATTTCTTTGAGCAATCCTGAAAAATTTCAGAGCCTCTCTTTAAGGGAGATGTAAAAACCTAGACAACGAAGCTTGATTAAAGGGTCAGTCTGTGATATTACTGCTTGGGATGGATCCTGGCTAGAAAGACTTTGGTGCTTCTAACTCTTAATATCCATTTTTAATTAAATTAACAAATATTTATTGAGGTCTGGCTATCTACTAGGTATTGTGCTATGACATATGGGGGAGATACTGTGAAGTATAAGACATAGTACCTGCCTGCCTGAAGCTTATAATCTTAGCTAAGGAGATTGAGCCTAAACCAGTGAAAAGGTAAATAACAAAAAATGATTGCAATAGAAGGGATGTTGGGAGGCAACACATTACTAATTGCTGAATTTATTGTAAAGAGAATTGCCAAAGGAGTCTGGAAGAAGGAGAAGCCATTTCTGGCTGGGGCATTTGGAAGAAGTTTTGTGGAGCAAATGAGATTTGACCTGGGTATTGAATTAATTAAAAGGATTTGGACTGGCTTTGAGGAGAGAAGGCAGGCTTCATGGGAGAAGCAAAAGCCCAGAGAAAGAGGAAGCAGAAAATGTTTTAGGGAAGATGAGTAAACGAGTTTGGTTAGAATAATTAGGGAGCAGTGAGTGGGAGATAAAGTGGGGAAAGGTGGTTTTTGTTTGTTTGTTTGTTTGCTTATTTGTTTTAGCTTAGAATACCTCTTAATACCTGTCTCAGAGAACTACCATTCCAAAATTATTTATACATCCTTAGGGGAAACAAAAAGCTAGAAAACCATTCAGTTTTGGTATGGAAAGGAATTTTCATCACAGACGTATCTCCTGAGAGGTTGCCCTAACTGTCAGTATTTTGCAGTAACAGGGCTAATACATTATAATCAACCTCCTTGGGTAAAGTCATGAAACATTACATGGTCAATTGTCCATGAACAACTTTGCTCCTCCGGAACAAATCGGCTCCTGTAACATTGTTTTACTCTACCCAGTGTTTTCATGGAACCAATTAGCCATGCCAATCAGGGTGTACCTCTTTGGATGTGCGATGTCATTCTCTTACCTTTCCCATAGCACTGGTGACTTCCCAACCACTTTTGGCTGCCAGGGCTTTGAGAGCATCCACATTGCTGTGACTCAAGTATGCCTGAAATGTAATCGTTTTGAGGGGTAGATGTGAGTCAAAAGTGCAGAAATGATAGCAGATATTAGAAAATATTTGCTTAGAAAATATATGTGAAGGCCTCTGTATTCCGGTCCTGTTTAAGCTGTGGTTTGAACTTTGATGCTTTATACTTACATTTAAGAGGAAGAAAATTGCAATGGTTAATACACTGTTTGACCCCTCGAAGTGGGGTACAGACCTCATAATACACCACCTAGAGTACTTTGTTTGTTTTTTGCCCCAAGATGAGCTTGGATCAGGGGTAGGGAACCTACAGCCTTGAGGCCAAATCCTGGATTTGTTCTGTGAAGTTTGGATTCAGTCAAAGGGCTGCACTTGAGGACCTAGAGGGCCATATGTGGCCTTGAGGTTGCAGGTTCTCCACCCCTGGCTTAGATAATCTTAGAAAGCAATTTGACATTAGCCTAAAGATAATCTTTCCTCTTTTAATTTTTCCTGGGCTGGGCATGGTCAGAAAGGGATGTTAGCAGACCCTTATTATCTGTGGGACTCTGGGCAATTCACTTAACCTCTCTTAGCCTCAGTTTCCTCTTCTGTAAAATGGGGATAATAATGAGGTAACATACATAAAGTACTTTGTATATCTTAAAGGGCTATGTAAATGCTTTATCATCATCATCATCATCATCATCAACCACCACTACCACCACCACAACAACAAGGATGTGCCATTCTCTGCCAGCTGCCTGATGGTCTGCATTCATGGGACATCTCATGAGTCCTCTCTTTGCACAATATTTCACAAATACTGGGATCATTCAGCCCACTCCTAAAAACAGACTCAGACTTCAGGGAACTAGATATTTTCTATGGAAAGTTTTGATCTTCAGACTTTTTCCCCCCCTCACTAGTTCAGAACAATTCAAATCTAGAAACTTGCAAAGATCTGGACTGAATTTTATGCAAATAAATACTGAAGTCCTAAATTTTCAGAATTGGAAGAACCTTACAGGTCATCTAGTCCCACACCACTGTCAGTATCATTTGCATATAAAACCACAGAGATTAAGTGACCTGCCCAGAGTCATACAGAGACACAGACCTGTGATCCAAGAAACATATACTGATAGAAAGTAACTTGGGGGAGAGAGTATTAACAACTGAGAACAGGATATGGGGATTTGATTCAAATGTAGAAAAGACTAAAAGTCACGTAAATCAGAAGTGTCACACAGGCCAGCTGCCTGTAGCCATCATTAATTCCCAGCTGAGGAACCAGATTAAAATATAATTGGGAAATATTTAATGAAATAAATAAAAACAATAACACAAAGATAACATTACATTTGGGCAGTTAGGTGGTGCACTGGATAGAGTGCCAGACCTAGAATCAGAAAGACTCCTCTTCCTGAGTTCAAATCTGGCCTCAGACACTTACTAGCTATGTGACCCTGGGTAAGTCATTTAACCCTGTTTGCCTCAGTTCCTTATCTGAAAAAATGAGCTGGAGAAGGAAATAGCAAACCTCTCCAGTATTTTTGCCAAGAAAACCCCAAATGAGATCACAAAGAGTCAGTTACGACTGAAAATCAACTGAATAACGACTAAAACATTACATTTAAAATTAAGCCAATATGCAGCTGCAAGGATGCTTTGGATTAATGGCCACTGTTTCTTTTTGAGTTTGACACCACTGATGTAAATGACCAGTAGAGGCAAGGCTCACTCCCTTCAAATTGGCAAAGATGATAAAACACTAAAACAATCAACATTGAAATAACTTTGAGAAGAAGCTGTGGCCCAGAAGGCTGGTTTTCTATGGGGAAACCGTCTGTCTTTTCCCTTTCCTGGAGTGGGTGTGGAAGAGTCTGTTAACTCGTACAAGCTTCTCAGTGGCCTGGTGTCATAGGAGTTGTTTGTTGGAGGCAGTTCAATCCTGCTCGCCACTGGAACTGGGGCTTGAAGCACAACCAAAATCTGACCATGGGGCTATGCCTTCCCCAGGCATCTACTGCCCTGTCTATTTGTTTATCTTTTAATGTTTTAAGATTTTTTTTTTTCAAATTAACATTCTCTGGTCTGTGTCTGAATTCAAATCTAAAGTTTACATTTGCATCTATAAATCACATTGGGCTTGAGGTTTTATTGTAGTATGGTTTGTAACAGCTATGTATCGAGCAAACACATTTCTCATCAGATATTATAAACTAATCTTCAAAAAATCTAGTACCTAGTTTAAAAAAAAAAGTGTTGGCCCCCCCCCCCCCCCAGATTTATAAGTTAATTTGCATGTGAAGCTGCCTGGTGTAGAAATTCCATCTACCCATCAGAGAGATGTCTGTGTCACTATGAGGTTGTGGCTCCCACAAATAGCTAGACTATGTTAGGGGCTTGAACCCAGCTTATCCTAATCTAAAGGCCAGATGTCTATTCCAGGATGGCACACTGCCCCTCAAACTAGTAAATGGGACTCACAAATACCAGATCTGGGCCATTAACCTGAGAGCAGCTATCTGAAAACAACTGAACTAAAAATGAGAGCTGTCCAAAAGTGGAATGGGCCGCCTCTGGCAGTAGTAGGTGACTAGACGCCCAATCATTCGAGATGTTGAAGAGAGGATTCATTTCCAAGTACAGGTTGAATTCAATGGCCACTGAAGTCCCTCCTTTAATTCTGAGAATCTGTGATTCTGTGACTACACAGCTTCCTGTGTCTGTGACTGGGCAACAGTAGATTTGATTGTAGCGAATAACCAGTTACTGTCTATTTGGTTTTGTTTCAAAATGACAGGATGGACAACTTAATTTTTCTTCCCCAAATTATTATTTACCTAGGCAGTCCAAGATAAATAAATGAGGGGCAAAACTATATTTTTTTCCTGAAGGATTAGTTTGCATTTAGGGGGATCCAGATTATAAAACCATCACCTGGTTGCTTGCATCCCAGTGAACACAAAGTGGAATATCTTCTTTGTGAGGAATAACATATTTCCTGAAACAAAGTTCATAATATTCAGTAATGACTTTTACTCTTTGTCATCAGCCTACAACATTCCTTCATTTATTCATCTATTCACTCAATACACACTTATTATGCACCTACTATGTGCCAGGCACTAGGGATACAAGGCAAAAAAAAAAAAAGAAAACAGTCCCTATTCTCAAGGAGCTTAAGTTTTATTGGAGAGAACAATATGTAAACAGAAAATCATATACAAAAAACACGCACGCCTCTGAGGTCATCTCCAGCTCTAGAGAAGATATGATGAACAAACTTAGACAAAAAGGAATTTGGGGATGGCGCTAGCAACTAGGAGGAGAATCAGGATGTGGAGGTTTGATATAACCACGGAAATGATCAAAAGGGCATATAAATGACTAAAAGTTATTCCTAACATATGCATGATTCACACGCATCAGAGTGACCAAGATGATGAAAGACAACTGTGAATTGGTAGAAGGTACGCTTCTTGACAGCTAGGTGGTGCAGTATATAGAGCACCATGCCTGGAATCAGGAAGACCTGCCTGAGTTCAAATCTGGCCTCAGATACTTGACCCTAAGCTAGTCACTTCATCCTGTTTGCCTCAGTTTCCTCATCTGTAAAATGAGCTAGAGAAGGAAATGACAAACCACTTCAGCATCTCTGCTGGACATGAGTTTGAACAACAACAAAGTTTCTTGAAGCCATAGACAGTTTCTTTTTAGACTTTGTATCCCTAGCAGGTAGCCCTGTGCCTGGCGTGTGGTATGCACATAGTAGATTTGCTACTTGGTTGACTGGTCCGACAACTTTTGGAAGGTCATCAATAGGGATGCAGTATATAGTCCACCTTGGTACAACTTCTCAAATAGCTATTATAGTTCCTGCACTGAAATCAATGCTTAAAAAAAAGATACCTTTGTTAACAAAAAATCCTACTGTTATAATATTAATGTGATTTTAGCAAACTTTTTTATCTTACAACACATACCTGCCAAGTCGTATTCTCTTACGTACAATAGCCCCATGATACCTTCTAACATCATCCTTTAAAGAAACAAAACAAAACACTACTGATGAATTTTCAGTAAGATACTAGATTTAGAGCTAAAAGAAATCTTAGCAGTTAGGTAGGTTGATGTCCCCCTCCCCCATTTTATTTGTGAGGAGACTGAAGAGCAGAGAAGAAAAGTGACTTGTCTAAGGACACATGTGTTATCAATAACAGGAGGGATTCCAAACCAGGTCCTCTAGCCCCAAGTCCAGCATTCTTTACTTTTGCACATCTTTACTAAATAATTTTTAGAATTTAATGATGAACTCTTATACCTGCACAGAATATCCTAACGATGTAAGAGTTAACTTTCACCTAACACACAGATAGATAAAAATTGCTACTCCTATGACTTCTTCTATTGCTCTTTTACTTTATAATGTGACTACTTTACGTTATTACTCAGAACAGAGGTTTGGAGAAGATATGAAAAATAAAGCAATTCTGAGATGAGGGAAGTACCACCATCTCTTAAGTAGGGAAAGACACACATTGATGGAGATTATAAACTTGTAGAGATGGTATAGCTAGGTGGCCCATTGGTTAGAGCTCAGGGTCTAAAATCAGGAAAACTCATCTTCCTGAGTTCAAATCTGGCCTCAGACACTTACTACCCTGTGACCCTGGGCAAGTCACTTAACTCTGCTTGCCTCAGTTCCTTATCTGTAAAAGAAATGGTGAACCACTCTAATATCCTTGTCAAGAAAACCCCAAATGGGGTCATGAAGAGTCAGACATGACTGAAAACAACACAAAAACAAAAACTGAATAGTCTACCGCATAGGTTTACTGTAAAGAAAACATTTTGCATATTTCAAAGTACTATGTAAACAGATGTTATTATTATGTTATAAAGGCTTAAATGACAGGGAGTGGATGAAATAGTGTGAGCAAAAGGGTTATGTAATGTCATGATTATGGAAGGAGCTAGAAGGCCTGACCATTAAATCTTTTGCAAGCTTGACCTTTGAAATAGGCTTGACTCTGGGGAACATGATGAGTTCTTCATTATCATCAACAGCATAATAAATGAGAAAAGCACTGTTGATGTGCCGGCCTTGGCCTTTGGACCATTCATCACAGTTGTAGGCCTCAACACGAACCCCGACTTCAACCCTACAAAAGGAAAAAAGTAAACATAATAAAGCAATCTGACCAGAGCTTGTTATAAACTTCCTTGGCAGAAGAGGCAGCAGGTGGCTTTAGGAGAACTGAGGTGGACAACTTGGGTTCAAACTCTAGCACTTCCACTGACTACCTCTGTGACCTGGTCAAGCCACTTAACCTCTCTAGACCTCAATTTCCTCATCTGTAAAATATAGGGGTTGAACTAGATGACCTTTTATATCCTTTAAATTTCTGATCCTATGAAATTCATAGAGGAATTTTTTTTATCCTTGAGCAATTATAAGGATTAAAGGAGCTCCATCCTATATTCATGCTTATGACTCTGTTTGGCATATGCTCATCAGAGAACTCACTTCTTAATTCAATCACTTATATAATGAGTAATTGGGGCACTGTTTGAATGAATAGGTATAATCCTTCATTTGGATGTGGCAGGAGGGAGAGGGAGGATTTCATTATGTTGTGTAGGTGGCTAACCTAAGGGAGTTCCTTGATCAACTGGTTGAGTCTTTGTTGGGGAGTTTGATGGCATCGCCCTCTGTAGGGTATGTACGTAGCCATTTGACCCATTTTGTTTTTGTTAACATTCTTTCCATTTACATTGCTGCAGTCATTGTGTATATCATTTTCCTGGTTCTGCTCACTTCACTTTGTATCCATTCATGTCAATCTCAGTATTTTTTCATATTTTTTCAGTATTTTTCATATTTCTCATTTCTTATGGCTTGGTAATAGACAATTGCATCAATGTACTACAATTTGTTTATATATTCCCCAATCTATGAGCATCTATTTGGTTTCCAATATAATAGGTAGGTAGGTGGTATGGTGGATAGGATAGAGCACTGGACCTGGAATCAGGCAGGCTTGAGTTCAAATCAAGCCTCAGACACCTACTAGCTTGTGGCCTTGGGCAAGTCTCTTAACCTTTCTGTCTCCATTTCTTCACCTGTAAAATGGAGATAATAATATCCTCTATCTCTCATGGTTGTTGGGAAGATAAAATGAAATAATATTTGTAAGGTACTTTGTAAACCTTAAAGCACTATGTAAATGCTAGATAGTATTATTATTAACTACTATCATTCCAGTTTTTTGCTACCATACAAAGTGCTACTATAAATATTTTGATGTATATTAGATGTATGTTTCTTTTTGTCTTTGATCTATTTGGGGGAATATTCCTAGCAGTGGGATCTCTGGGTCCCTATGACTCATTCTAAACTCAGAATGAATTTAGTAGCTCAGAGATTTGTACTGTTTTGAGAGAAACCAAATTTTTGTGCTGGCCTATTTAAAAAATTGTCTTCATTGTAGACTTGGCTACTTTTTCCCACTTCTCCTTTTCTTTTCTGAGTATAGGTCAGAGACTAGAAACCTGACAGTAGACTTTAATCCCTGGTGTACAGGAAGGAAAGGGGGATGATTGTCCATTCACAAAGTCACCCAGGACCTGAATGGATATTTCCCTCAGTTCACAACATGGCAGTTTCCCAGCCCAGGAGATGGCAACTGCCAAGCCAATATGAAAGTATAGAGTCTTTGCCCCATCAGTGCATGGGCTGGCCTGCAGAGACAGTGGCAGAGACACGCACGACCTTGGGTCAGGGTAACCAGGATGTCAAACAATGAGAACCTTAGCTCATACGAGAGAAAGGGAATGCCTTGAAAGTACCTGACTCAGGGTTGCCTTGATAACAACCTCAAGTTCAAGAGAAGAGTCCAGGAATGCAGCCTTCAAATGAGACCAGGAGAGCTCCTGGGCAGCCCTAGCATCTCAGAGAGTGAGAGGGGTCCCATGGGTGGTCCCCAAAGCTGGAGGAGCAGTAAGAGAATTTAAGTCATGGTATGCAGGAGCAAAAGACCTCAACTTTGCCCTCCTCTGTTACCATGAGTTATTCAGGTGGTACAGGGCCAATGTGAAGGGTTTGCCTTTCTGATAGCCCCAAATGTGTTTCCCTTTCAGGGGGAGTTCACCCTTGAGAGTAGTACTATAAGTCTAGAATTCTATTGGGGTTTTCTAAAAAGAGTCACTCATAAAAATAGCAAGGGATTATCACTCCATCAACCTTTTCTCCATTTCCCTTGCATAGCACTCCATTGCCTGTATTCATACCGGGTTTTGTTTTGTTTTGTTTTCAATGGCTATCCCTCAGGCCTGGCTTTCATTCCCTCCTTACTTCTGTCTTATATAATCCTTCGCTGTCATTAAGACATAGCTAAAGCACCATCTTCTCCATTAAGCTCTTCCTGATCTCCTCTCATCTGTTAGTGCCTTTCATCCCTAACTACCTTATTTAACTGCCTTGTTTTTAGTATTTATTTTGTATATATTTCTATATGTCCATGTTATCTCCCCCACCTCATTATGAAATGAAAGGAAGGACCATTTCATCTTTTGATTTTATATCCCCATATTACCTGGCACTTAATAATTAACTGCTTCCCTTTCAAGGGGAGAGCACGGTAGCACCCTGGGAAAAGGCAGGAAAGGAGAAGGAAAATTGTATCAATTGGGTACAGACGACTGTGAGCAAATTTAAACATTTTCTACATCTTCTGTGGGGTAGATCAAAGGCTGTCTCTCCAATACTAGATACACGCCTTGTTTCTTTGAGTACTTGTCCGGTAGCCAGGGACCCATTTATCCACAGCTGTAGAGACTTAGACAAGAACTATATTTGAGTTACATGTTCTGAGATTTCCTAGAAGGGGCTCTATGTGGGGTCAATTCGAACCAAAGGGAGAGTAATTTGGGGCAGAGTTGAAGCAGGCAAGAATAGAATTGGTTTGTGTAAGGCTTGAGTTTGGTTGCTAGGCCATCAGTTCCAGGTACTTAAATTTTCTTTTCTCAAAGCAATGGTTTTGTAATCCAAGAAAACAAAACAAATTAGACAATAATTAAATTAGATAATAATAATAAAATACTTTTTGACACTTAAATGGAACCACAGCAAATAATTAAGAACAGCTCTCCACTGTGGAAAGAGTAATTAAAAATAAGTACAAAGCAGAGTGGGAATGGGCAGTGTTAAATGCCAGCCCTGTCATCATCAGGAGATGCCATTTCATCACCCATTATTTATTTAGTGGGTATGCGCTAAGGTAGTACAAAAATGCATCTGGACATTTTAAACCAAAGGCTACAATTAAAAATAATAAAATTTGAAAGTTAGATGGCACAGTAGATAGAGTGCTGACCCTGGAGTCAAGAAGACCTCAACCAAAATCTGACCTCAGACCCTTGGCCTCAGTTTCCTCATCTGTAAACTGAGCTGGAGAAGGAAATGGCAAACCACTCCAATATCTTGGCCAAGAAAACCCCAGATGGGGTCACAAAGAGTTGAACATGACTGAAATGAATGAATGACAACAATAAAATGATAAAAATAAATAATAAAAATAATAAATTGAATAATAAAATGAAAAAGATAGTCACTTCAAATTATGTGCCTACATTCTCCCTCCCCTCAATGAAGCAAGAATAATAAATAATAATAATCCAAATCTGAATTCAAGTATTCAATAAGGTCACAAAACAAAAGTCTAGAAAGCAAGGCATCCTATGTGCCTCCTCAGCCGCCTCTTACCAGTTCTGAAAAGTATTGTTCACAATGGCATTGGAGACAAGGTGATCACCAACAGTAGATGGTCCCCAAAATTTAAACATATCCACCGACTTTAGAATGGGATGTGAGCCACAGAGGCGGCTGAATGAGAAATACAAAAGAAAAAGAGTGAGGCAAAAGAGATCCTTCCGGAAAATAAATGAGGGTGTTCCTGTCCATTCATGACCCTGATGCAGTGAATTGCCGACTAGGAATTGTGTGACTTAGAATTCTTTCTACCAAGGGCAGAGTCAGGGTAAGTGGGTGTGTGCTGGTACAGAGGACAGTATGGCCTGATTCCCATTGTAGTCCTAAGAGGGGAAAGCCTATTCCAAAGAATACAGGCACCACTGCTCAGTGTTGATCAGAGTGAGTTGAATCTAGCTCCAGTTAAGCTATCCTCAGTGTGGCTCAAGTTCATTGTTTGCTAAATGACTATCTTTTTTTTTTCCTTCCAAAGAGTAAAACAAATAGATGGATTGAGCATGTTGGCAGTGTTACTATATGCCATCTGCAAGAAACTTTGTACTTTGTTTGTGCATACTGAGTGTGATAATCCACCAAACTGTAGCTGGATGGTCACCTTGCCCTACTGGTGACAGGCCTACTCTCCTCTAGTTCCTAGGGAAGGAGATTCTGTGTTAAATGTGCTTTAATGGGGGTGGCTAAGTGGCGCAGTGGATAGAACACTGGCCCTGAATTCAGGAGGACCTGAGTTCAAATCCAGCCTCAGACACATAACACTTACTAGCTGTGTGACCCTGGGCAAGTCACTTAGCCCCCATTGCCCAACCAAAAAAAAATTGCTTTAATGAAATCTGCACCCTTGTTCAGGGAGGCCTGGAACCAGAGACACCGTGTGTATCATCACATTTGCACTGCAGCATGAAGGAAATAAGAACATGGCTGCCACATTTTTCTGTCCTTGGGCTGGTGTGGTCCAGTGCCATCGATTCATTGGTGACACAGTTAAAGGACTGTACCAGCGCATTAAAAGGAAGGGGGAAAGTGGTGAATTTTCTCCACACCCCAAAAAAAATGACTAGCCCTGCCATTCACAACCTGTCACATTCTACTATTTCTGTGAAATTTCAAATTTTAAAACAATAATGACACAAAGAAAGAGTTGTATTTCATGATTTTCCATAGGTTTAGGTGTTACCCTTAGCCCTTCAATTGCAAGAGTAAGACCTCGAGCCACGACTCAACCCTGTCTATTATTTGGGCTTGCAAAGGAACGTGCTCGGGAATGATCCATTGTCATCATAGAATGACAATCTTCTCATTTTATTTAAAAACAAAATTCCTTCATTTAGGCATAGTTCAAAGCAGCAATAAATACAACTTTCTAAGAGTGGTACTTTCTATATAAATGAATATTTAAATTTTCTTTTAAATTTGGGGAAAAAAATGAACTCTGCTTTGGTTGCATCAGAAGAGACAGTTCCAATTTGAATGTTTTCTAACTCCTCAACATGCCTTGAAGCTGCTCCATTCCCTACATGGTTATTTTAAACATAGAATCACCTTTTTTAAATTGAAGAAAGTTTTAAATGCTTTCTTCCCCAAATTACTTCTTTTTCTTCTCATTTTTCATTTAAACCTTTGACCATAGTAGTTCTAACTGGCACTTTCAAACGTCAGACAACACTCTAAGTTGCCATAAAAAGACTTGTAGTCAGACAATTTTTTTTAAGCGTAAGAGACTATTTTCTATTTCCATTCAGTCTATTCACCTTTGTAATAAAACCATTGTCACAATGAGCTTGTGTCGCAAGATCAACATCCATAATTCAGACAAAAGTGTGAAAACCACTATCTTATTTTTGTTTTTGAACTAGAACTCAGATGGTCATTTTCAGGATAATCTGAACTCATTCTTTGATGACTAAGATTACTTCCAGCCCATCATACACTCCCCATCTCATAGTGTTTTAACTTAGTTCTCCATCTCCAATGACTGCTCCCTTATTCTCATCCTCTTTAACCTCCACACCCCCACCTCTCACTGTCAGATGATCCAACCATTCCACTGTGCTCTCCAGAATGCCTGATGCATAAGTAATAAACTAGTTTTTCTCTTAAATTTTTTCCTTTCTTGCTCCGTCCATCTTCTGGCTCCCTCCTGACCACACTGGCCATCCTTTCCAGCAATGGGGGCACTTTCATTCAGACCTCTCTTGTGGGGGAGTTGGGATACTCCATGCTCCCCATTGCCTCTTCCAGGCTCTCCATCTACCACTGTCACCAGTAACCTCTCTTCCTTTGTGGTCCATTATTACCCATTGAAGAATCTGGTGGCTGGTGTGTACTTGTGTACTGACCTCTAGAACACTTCTTCTCCCCTCCTCAATGCATTCAATACCTGATTCACAGTCCTTCTTTTCTCCCCAGCTTTCAAGAAAAACCCATTTGGGGTTTTCTTGATGAAGATACTGGCGTTGTTTGCCATTTCCTTCTCTAGCTCATTTTGCAGATGAGGAAACTGAGGCAAACAGGGTTAGAGACTTGTCTAGGGTCACACTGCTAATGTCAGAGGCTGGATATGAACTCAGGTCTTCCTGACTCCAGGGCCAGCACTTTATCCACTATGCCACCTAGTTGTCATGCCTTCATGCTAGGGGACATGATTTTACATGTTGGTACTCCCTTAAACACCCTAATCTCTTAACTCCACACTTGGCTCATTTCTTTTTATTTTATTTTTTTTTGGTGAGGCAATCGGGGTTAAGTGACTTGCCCAGGGTCCCACAGCTAGTGAGTATCATGTGTCTGAGGCTAGATTTGAACTCAGGTCCTCCTGACTCCAGGGCCAGTGCTCTATTCATTGTGCCATCTAGGGGCCCCTTGCTCATTTCTTATGACCTCTACCTCCACCCCATCTCAGCTATACACAGAGATCACCAAATCTTTGATCTTTCCATCACCCCCAAGTATTCTATATCCATAATCACGAACTCTGAAATTCCCTTATTTGGTCACAATCTATCACCTCTTCCTCTGCCTTACAGTCCCTAACCTTGTTCTTTGTCCTCACTAAGACCTCCAATATCTCCACCCCTTAGTTCTTCCCCAGGCCATCACCCCTATACTGGCTATACTATCTTCCTTTTCACTAGGCAGCTAGGTGATGCAGTGGATAAAGAAATGGGCTTGGAGTGAGGAAGACCCGAGTTTAAATCCAGCTTCAGACACTTAGGAGCTGTGTGACCCTGGACAAGTGATCACTTAACCTCTGTCTGCCTCAGTTTCCTCAATTGTTAAATGGGGATAATAATAATAACACCTACTTTCCAGGATTAAATGAGATATTTGTAAAATGCATAGCACAGTACCTGTTACATAGTAATTACTTAATAAATGCTTATCTCCCTTCCTTCTTTTCTCCTTCCCTCCCTCCCTTCCTCCCATTCTTCTTTTCTTCCTTTCTTTCTTCCTTCCTTTCTTCCTTTGTCCTCCCTCCCTCCCAGCTGTCTGACTGTTCTCAGTCTCCTTTGCTGGATTTTTATTCAGCTCCCGTTCTCTAACATCCAGGGTCCCTCAAAGCTCTGTCTTATACCCTCTTCTCCTTTCCCTCTATACTATTTTACTTAGTGATCTCATCAACTCCCAAAGATTCAATGATTATTTCTACGCAAATGACTCTCAATTCTATTTGTTCAGCCTTAATCTCTCTACTGACCTCCAGTCTTGCTTCTCCAACTGCCCATTGGACATCCTGAACCTAACAAATGCGAGTTGATTGCCTGAGACAAAAGGACAGATTAATCATGGAGTAAAGGACTATTTGTCGTGGGTTCTTTCAAAAAATTATTTTAATGAAGGACACCATTTCCCCACGTTCTCTCTTTTAAGCCTTTACTATACTAACACACCTCCTGATCTTGGCCACTCTGGGTGTCTAGACCTCACTATTCTTTTTTCTCACTCACTTGCAACTCCCCTACCCCTCTACCCCTGCCAGAAGAGCAGGGGGTTTTTCCCAAGAGAGGGTCATATGTCACAGTTCAAAAGTCAAAACCAATAAACAACCTTGCTGAAATGTTAGCCACTGTTTCCATCCAAGCCATAATCTGGCCCCCAAATGTATTTCCATGATGGTTTGCATGGGGTGGAAGGACAAGTTCAATGCTCTGTACCCAGGTTATCACCAGTTGAAACCGTATCATCCTCTCTATCACAGATGACATCTGAAATGGGAATGGGAAACATTAAATGCAGTAGCTTTAACCAGTGTCCCCAGGGTGCCTACTCCCTCAAGCTGAAGGACTGACCCCTTGTTGCCTGTAAAAATGAACTCATTCCCTGCATGAAAAGCCATCTGAGGAAGCAAACAAGTTTCATTCTGGACATGGACCAGTTTCATCTTCATGCAAGCGGTTAAGATAACAAAACTGGAAGTGTTTTCTCCTTCTAGAGACTACTGTACCTGGCAGATATGCTTTGGAATTAGCATTTTCTTTTTTATTTAATATTGCAACCATCTTGCTCCCAATTAACAACAATCTTTCAGAGTTTTGGTTAGAAGAATGGATAAATACAAAAGGGAATTTAAGATCTGAGATATGTATGTGCAGCCACTGCTCCTCTAGGGCACAGTGACTGAGTGTTCTAAACCTCTCTGAATGAGAATGCCACTTGCTATGGAAATGCTGTTGGGGTTTTTTAAAAATGCTGTTATGAGCAGAAAAAACACAATACTGCTCTACATCTCAGTGTCCTTCTGCTGCTTCAGAATCATATTGCCTTCATTTACTGACAAATTGGTTTTTACTGTCAACAATGGAGAAATCATTTACTCCGGCTGCAAAGAAATAAAATGTATTCAATTATGCTTCCTGCATCATCAAGTGAATCACCAGCTAGGTTTAAATCTCACAAGCGTTGTTGTTTGGGTGGGTGTGTAATTCAGAAAGCACATATCCGGTGGGTTTGGCCGGGGACAGAGCTCAGTTTGCAACGTGAGAAGAAAGGAACATCCATTTACGTGGGAACTTCAAGATCATTTGGTGTGGAAATTCCTATAGAAACATGCATAAAGATTGTAACGAACTTCCTTTGGGGCTCGATGAAACATCTTTGAAACATCTTTCATTGTTCCCCAGTAGGCCTGTGAGGAAGAGCAACTATTGACAACCGACGTTCTTAAAGTCCAAATTTTCATTTCTTTATCCTTCTCTTATTTATTCTTCTTCTGCCTCCATTCTATCACATTTCATTGATTTATCCAGAGGCCTTCCTCACAATAGGATATTTTGGGTTATCCTCAAATGGCCATAATGTTCCCCATCTTCTCTCACGGCTTCTGCCACAGAGTTCTGCTGACTCATGCTGAACGCCTTTGTCCTCTCTTTATAAAGGACCTTCATTCGGAGTCCACACACAGTGAAAATGAATTTGGTTCGTGGAGTTAGAGCTGGAAGTCATTTAGTTCAATCCTCTCTTTTTTTAGTTGAGGAAACTGAGAACCAGAAGGCAATTCAGAAAAATCAGGAAAAAAAGAATATACCAACTTTCACCCAAATATCTGAAACGTCCATTTACATCACACTAAAACATTTTGCCTCAAAACTCAACACCTTTATGGAGATTTTTCAGATTAATTCTCCCTAGCTTAGGTCTCTCCATTCATTCCAGTGCACTCTGAAACCTAGAATATAATAACTTACTATGTATATTAAAATACAATGTTCAGATGTGATATAATATATAAGCCTTATAGCTCTTATGAAAACTATATCCATTTGACAGGTAGGTGTCTACTAGAAAATAACCATGAGGATTCTGTCCCAGTGTGAGGCAGTAGGCTCTGACTTGAGCTAAGAAAAATAACCAAGTCTCTGCCTTTTTGAGAAGCAGTATGGCATGGCGTAGTGGGAGAGACTCAGCCTCAAAAGCAGGAAGTCCCAGGTTCAAGATCACCTCTATCACCTGCTCAGCGCGTGACCTTGGACCAATCAGTGCTTGTCTTCACATCTTGGGGCTCTAGCAGCTCCCTAAGAGACAAGGGTTCTTCCCTGTTTTGGTCATGGGCCCCTTGGGCAATCAGGTGAAGGACCTCTTCTCAGAATAGTGGTTTTAAATGCATAAAATAAAATACATAGAATTTCAAAGGAACCCAATTTTATTGACACAGTTATCAAAATACTGGAGGGAAAAAACAAATTCATGGACCCCCCGAAATCTATCCATGCACCCCTTGGGGGTCTGTGGACTCCAGGTTAAGTACCCTTGCTCTAAGATGGTAAGTTATAGAGAAGGTACATCTACCTACAGGATAGAAGGAGATGAAATCACAGGCTTAGTCCTATATATATGCTCACACAGATATGTATTCTGTGTGTATATTTATACATAAACATATATACACATGGACATACACATATGTATATGTTTATAGAGTATGGGACCTGGAGTCAGGCAGACTCATCTTTCTGAGCTCAAATCTGACCTCAGAAACTTACTAGCTGTATGACCCTGGGCAAGTCAGTTAACCCTGTTTGCCTCAGTTTCCTCATCTATAAAGTGAGCTAGAGAAGGAAATGGCAAACCCTCCCAGTATCGTTGCCAAGAAAACCCCAAATGGGGTCATGAAGAGTTAGACACGACTAAAACGACTGAACGACAAAAATCCTATACCTCCCTTTGGATAGCAAGATGCTCAGATTCATGGCCTTCACCTCATCATTTCATCTCTCCCTCCTCACTCCACTTAGTGCAACAATATTGTCCACACACAGAATGCTCACAGTTGATCATGAGAGACTGACTGAAGTCATCAAGTAAAAGATGTGACTCTTCATCATCTTTAGCTGGGCACACTTGACCCTAAAGTGATGTCCTTTCCGCTAAAAGAGCATCTCCTTTTTTCTAAAGGCTCTCTGATTGGGGGTCCTTTCCAGAGCAGCAATTGCCACTTCCTCCGTCACTCAACACCCATGTCTCTTGCGGTGTCCATCAGGAGGGGATCCTGCTCAGTAACAACACCCAGGTCCAGCCCCTGCCCAAAGGAGTCCCTGATGACTGAAAAAGTCACTTCCCAGCACTTAATTCTTTTTTCCCATTTGCCGGTACCTGTGTGGCCAGTTTTTCCTTGAGTTAAAAAAAAAAACAAAGACAAAACCCTGTCTATTTCGCTATCGTGAAGAAACTTGGTCCGAATGTCAATATAAATCCCGTCCCAGTTTTCTGGGAATAATGGTCTATTCTTGTAAGGTGGTGGCCTATTGGGGTCCAAACTCAGGGGACCTGAATATGTGGTTCAGCTGTCGTGTGAGGCTGGATGCCCAGAATTAAGGACAGAAGGGCTGTAAAGGTTAAACACCATAGGCCTCTAATTGGGAGGACATTAGCATATAAGTGCTTTCTTTGTAATTTCAGGTATGTTTTGCAGGCACATGCCCCAGGGTCCCATTTGCTGTAAGTTCAGGCTTATTTGTCACGTGTGGGTCAAACATCTCATTTAGCAGACAAGAAAAGCTTTACAATAACTGTGGTTGTTTGTGCTCCTCTGCGCAAATTTGTACTTTAGATGTTCTCAGAATATTGTGTAATATTGACAGTACAACTTGACATTTCAGTTTCATGTTTTCAAGCTAGTTAGAAAACCAATGAAAAAGTACAGGGGAAAGAACAATCACTTTAAAGTCAGAGGATCTGAGTTCAGATTCCAACTGTGATACCTACTGTGGGAATGACCTTGGGCAAGCCACTTAAACCTTGTGGGCCTTAGTTTCTCCATTTGTAAAATGAGGGAATTGGGCATGTAAGGGTTATATGATAGTAAGGCTTCCATTCAGGTATGGGTTGGAATAGATGCCCACAGATGTTCCATCCAGATCTTAAATTCTATGATTCTGGAAGTAAAAACAACATTGGATTTGGAAATTGAGGATCTGGGTTTGAATCTTGACTCTGCCACTTACTAGTCATATAATATACAATCATTAAATATTAAACTCAATATACGAAGCTCAAAAATGCACTGAGACTTTTGGGACACCCTATCTATTATAAACACAATGTGCAGGTATGTGCTTTAGCCCTTAAGCTGTTACCTTATACTTCAACCTGTAAATTGAAGAAGTTAGGCTACAAGATCTGGAAGGGCCCTTCTAGATCTAAATCTATGACACTATGATTTTCTAGGATCATGCCCTCTGACCCTTCAAGAGTTGTTGCTAGGACCACAGCCTAAGGATATTATTAGGAAGAATGAAGAGCCATTTATACTAACCTATTTATATTGGCCCCAAACAAGCAAACAAACCCCAGAACCGTCAACAGCTTTTATGTTTAATAATTGAGGAAATGCTAAATAACTTGTAGTGTATTAATGTTATGGAGTATGGCTGTTCCATAAAATGACAGATAGGACATATACAAAGCATTGTGGCAACACCAAGAAGTGATGTAGAACTATAATCGCAAAATCAGAATGTATTTACTGGTTGTGACTAGATTTTTGTAAAAAGCAACAAAATCTAATAAATTCACAGATGAAAAAGAGCTAAGAAAGGAATTCAGAAGCAAATAAAGTGTCATCATTTTGCTATAACGTACAAGGGCATAGTTTATTTTTGGCAGACTTAATAGTTTAGAATTTATGGTTTTATGTGTGATTTAATGCCTTATCTTATATGTTTATTTGGTTATTTGTTCTTCTTTATGGTTATTGAGTATAGGATAAAATAAAGCGAAACAAGATTTCAGGTCAGTGGACTAAGGTCAAGGAACTAAGGACTGATATTTTTCTTTCTACATGCCTGCCAGTGAAGAGCTAGGCAAATAGTAGCTCTTTAGTAAATGTTTAATTGATTGCATGATTAATAATACCAAAGAATCCTCATATTGCCTCTCTCAGTCTTCCATGACAGCAGAAAAAGGCCAAGGGGTCACCAGGGCAATGACTCCCACTCCCACCCCAAAATGCTCCATGGATAAGAAAGAGAGTCTGGAGTGACCTGCTTCTCTTGTCTTTTGGGGGCTTGCAGTTCTTATTCCATTTTCCTGCTTCTCTAACAAGCTGCATTTGGGACATAAAACATCTTTCCAAAGGATGATGTCCCACCTTCTAAGTATGATATTTTGATTGAAGCAAAAGGAACTTGGTATTTTCTCAAAAAATATTCAGTAATAGAAATTCCCCTTAAGCACTCCATTTAAAAATAGTAAGTGCATTTGCAAATGC